CTCACTTGCTCTCTCTTCTCATCAAGAACGAGGGGAAAGTGATCGCAGGCGACCTTGGTAACATCCACCTTCATCCCGTCCCTCTCTGTACCGACCCAACTTCCCTCGATAACATCGATGGCAGTTTGCTGTACCCTTGGTACAACGATAAGGTCCTCTTCTGCGAATAACCAAGACACAGGAACATCTTTGTAGCCAGCGTGGGTAAGTACGTCACCGAAACAAGCACCGTGATGCTTGCCAAACTTGGCAACGTACGAGATGCCGTCTTCCAGCGTGAGGTTGTTGAAGCAAAGTGACGCTGTAGCGGCAGGATCGGACTGCGTTACCCATCCGTTTGCATCAACCTCGATTGGGGCACTCTCTTCGCGTGCAAGGGCCTGACCGCAGGATTCGCCGACACGTGGTACGGCGGCCGTGAGATACGCAAGGCGTACCACACCACCAGTCCTGCCCTGATGCTCTCGCTCTTTCTTCGTTACGTCTTTGATACCCTCGGTTGCTGGGCAACCTATATGATATCAGCATTAGTCATTCCTTCATCTATCAGAAAAGGTATGAAAAATCTAGGACTTACCACCATAGCTATGCGCAAGTAGGATGACTTCCTTTCCACCGTCTGCGAGCTTTCTCACAAACTCGTTGACATAAGCTGCGTCGTCATACATGCTTGGTTGAGTAACGGAGTTGGCTTTGTAGCCAGCAGGATAGCAGGGTGGTTCGAGAACGTGGATATCGTAGCCTTTGGCACGAAGTGGCATTACGAGAGGGTCGTACATGCTTGTAGGGCAGAAACTGCCCGGAACAATGACGACGCTTGGTTTTGAGGACATGTTCTCAAACTGTACTGATAGAACAATGTGGGAGAGAGATGGATGTCGGAATGAGATATCAGTGAGTGATTGTAAGCTATCGTGCTGCGTGCGTGTGGATGCTGAGAGTCGAAGTTGATCGAGGGCTGGTTGACATATTTCCTCTTCAGCGGCGCATCTCTTTATATACTTCCTATACCGTCCTTCCACTAACAATCTGGTTATTGTTCGGCATCTGAGTTGCCGCTGATCCTGCACCCTACCGCGATTTAAGAGGATGGCTGCCGAAAGCCACGCACTAGCCAGAATTCAGTGCTAATATTGCAACTGCTTTACAATCTCATGAATTGTCATCATCGTACATGTGGAGAAAGCTGTATATCACGGCTTGACAAGTTCAGAAAAGAGTTGCGGAGTGGTCGTGCATTCTGACGTTCTGACATGCACGATGTCAGAAACTAGTGCCGGGTGGGAAGGGCCTAAAAACCCAGCCAACCGTCGCCACAGCGACGATCAGGATTATTAAGCAAGGAACATCAAGTATTCCCTGTGGTTTTCCGTGTCTGCTGAGTTGCTCCGGGGCGACTGGAAGTAGACGGGGACATTATTGTCAAGCAATATACCAAATCGCACCAAAGCTGTTTTGCATCAAAGATCATCACATAGACTTGGTCAAAGCAGTGACAAAAAGTTCGTTCAGATGCCGAAGCAAGCACGGAAGCAGATGTGTTGGCATAGCGATTAGATTAGAACATTAAGCTAACAAGGAACAAGCTGAAGACATTCTATCCTCCATCAGATCATCACATACTTGCTTTATCCCCTAACAAGAAGCCGCAGGAGCTTACGCCTCGTTCTTTCCAGAGTCAGGTGTGCTATCGGTGTAAGAAGCAGCGCAGATGACGGAGTATTCATCGTCGCCGTAGTAGTAGCCAGTGTTGACGGCATAGCTTTCATCCCAGTACTGAGTGTAAAGTGCGCAGTAAGTACCAAGAGGAACACCGTTCTTGGTCAAGATGTAAGAGGTGAAGAAGTTGCAAGGCTTGTATTCGCCGTTGGCGTCAGCAAGGTGCTCCTTGTCGAACTGGGTCTGCGACTCGCAAGCTGCAGCGCACAGGCTGGGGTCGTAGGGGTTGGTGTTGAAGAGACGCATTCCGTTGTAGGTGTCGTAGTCCTTGCCTTGCTTCTTGATCAAGGGAGCGTTGATGGCAGCGGGAAGGTTGGCGGGAGCGTTGAAGCCCTCGACGGTAGGGGCGGGCTTGCAGACTCCTTTGCCGGCCTTGGAGTAACCTGAGTATATGTTAGTAAGGAGTACTCAGGGCGATGAGCAGGGTTAGAAAGCTTACCGTTGCTGCCAGTGATAACAACATGGAAGTCACCACGGTACTGGCCCTGGTTGGTGGCCGATGCCTCAGCCACGGGGTATCCGTAGATTGAGCACTTGATGTTTGTGACGGGCGCTGGGTCACTGCATCCCTCACCGGGGTCGACGCTGGGGTCGCGCTCGAAGAAGAGGTTGAAACCAAGGCAGTACTTCTCGCTGTTGCAGAAGGCGGCACACTCATCAGGGCTGTAAGTGTCGAGAGTCTTGTAGGTCAAGTAGCCAATCTGTTCGGTGGACCCGATAAGATTGGTAAAGGCCTTGGTGTAACCTTCGGGAGTGCCTGCGGTTTGGGCAGCTTTCCGGAGAGAGTTCTCTTTGTTCAGGTATTCATCAACGGAGCCCTGTCCAGGAACATACTCGGCTCCGGCACTGTGTCGATTGTCAGTCACTCTGCAGTAAAGGTGTTCAGCACAACAACGTACCCAGCAGGCTGGGCCTGGCAGGCATCACGCTTCTTGAGCTCTGCACCACTTGTAGCAACTACTGCAGCAGCAGACGCGGCAGCGGCAGCTTGGTTGTAAGACACTGGAAGCTCAGCAGTCTCCTCGGCCTTGGGTCCAAGAACGGTGGGAGTGGGGACGGCCAAAGCAGCCTCGATGTTGATCATCTGGGGTAGGGCAGCAGCTAGGCCACTGAGGGCGGAAGTAGCGAGAAGAACGTTACGCATGTTGAAGGTTGGTTGGAGGAGATGGTGATGGAGAAGGATAGTGCTGATGAGATGCCAGTGAAGCTTGCTGAGTGCTGCTGTGGATGAGGATCTTCAATTGACGAGCAGAGACGTCTTACTTATACATTGCCAGGACATCATCATGGAATACATGGGGCATGATTTAGCCGAGACCTGTATTGTTAGTTGCAAGCCGCTGTTGTTGCTAACGCCGCTCGATAGCGCTTGGCGGAACGTTTCCAGCTGGGCGCGTTGTGGTGAGGCTCGAGAACTTGACCACATCGGGCCCAGAATCGCGAGCGTGTCGACTCTCATGGAACAGAATGGACGTTTTGGTACCACGATGCAAGTTCCAGCCGTACGCCGCTGTCTGGTGGCTTGTAGCCTCATCGTGTCCGAAAAGCACCGTATCACAGTAAGCATGGGTGGAGCAAGGGATGTTATTGAGAAGTGATACGATCGCAAGCCACAAGTGTGGTGAAGCGCCGCATAGATCGCGTCCACCGAAGAGCCCAGGAAGAGTGCCGGGTGTCCATAAACAACCCGAAATAGTGACGGGAGAGCGCCTGAGGCTAAAGCTTGACGCACGAGCGGGCCCCTTGTCAGTTGCGTCGCCGTGCTGATCTCCTTTAGCGAAGTCTGGATGAGACGGGAGATAGATCAAGCCAATTTCCACAAACGTGTTGGCATTCAGGCACCGTTCCCGCACCACCAACAGCAAGATTGGCTAGCGCGACCGGAGCGGCCAAGCGGGCCCCACTCTCGATAACGCTAGCACGCTGGCTTCTGCAGTTTCGAGAAATCCTCAACAACACCCTTACATGACGACAGCTCTGTCTTCATCTGAGTCGATCATCGAAATCGTTCCAGAGAGTCGGTTGGCGATATTGACGCCTGCCAACGGCGAGGGAAGTATAATGTCTACCAAACCTTCACCACCTACGCTAAGATGCGCTATATTCGGCACACTGATAATGCCCCAGTATGCGGATGCCAATTGCGGCGTTTCTGGCAAGGCGTCGAACCCAAAAACGGCCGGTGAGCCCACGCCTGCCACGCCACGAGGCTGGCGTGGAGCTGTCAATATTGGTCTGCGGTGCTCACCCCCGTTAGTGCACAGATTTCGCAGCCCTTCTCCATGGCAAACGCTATCTTCCTAGTCATTTGACCTGCCAGTTCGGGGTCATCGACAGGACTTGTTACCGATACCGCGTTTTCAAATTGCTGCCGGCTCCGCTTGCACCAACTAACTGGCTCGCGGATTTTCAGAACCATGGAAACATCAGAGCTTAGCTGCCAACCTTGCAGTCGGAGACATTAGCCACCCCACATGATTTCTAACAATGCCATTACCCTGAAGACGTTTCTTCGGTATCCTGAGTTAAACCCGACACAAGTCCTCGCCCAGCGCCGCGTGTTGTACAGACTTGGCACACATTACTCCGCGGATCTAGACGCCGCGCCCACGACGCAAAATGTCCGACTAGACCCTAAAGCCTGTCGCGATGGCTTTTTCTAGAGGCGAGCTGAGATGCGGAGCTACTCCACAACAGCAAAACAGCGAGGATGAAGTCGACGGTGAAGCCGATGCTGGCTGTCATGCATGCACGACCAAACAGCGTCACTTGCATGATGCTAGTCTTTTGTGGAGGCTCAGAAGCGAGCAAATGTCCACGTGTAACTGCCGAGATCACTGATGCGAGGCTGGTCTCAAACAATGGCCTTACAATGACACATGCCAGTAAAGAAAGAGCACTGTTCGCGGTTGACTAAGAGACGTTCGATCGGAAAGTGCGGCACGTTGTGCTCCGCACAGTGTACCATGGTACTCGTCCTCTAGAGATTGTCTGGTATGGAACGCGAAGCTCCATGTACAATGACCGGCGTTAGGGTCTTACTTCACCCCCGCCTTTGTTCCTCTGGTACCTTTAGGCTGGTACCAGACGATCGCGTTCACGCCAAGTGGGAACCTCATGAATCAGCCAGCCTTATTGGACCCCAGCTTCCTACTCAGACATGCCCAGCCACAGACACCAAAAAAGACGTCAAGCGTATGCACCGGTGAGAGTGGGCCCAGACGAGCCACAGCGGTGTTGCATATGTTTAGACCCTTACTACACGTCCACCAGAGGCGAATATGCCGAGGTGCCACTCCAGCTCCCTTGTGGGCATGTTTTCGGTGACGCTTGCATTGCGGAGTGGATGCAAACCAAGCGAACATGCCCCCTCTGCCGATTTGAGTTCTTTGATATTGAGTTTGACCACAACGACGACGAATACGATCTATGGATAAGCGAGACTGAGTCAGCAAACCAGCATCTCGGGACCTCTTCGGGTCACATTTCCACATTTTCGTTTGTTCCAGATTTTCCAGGGGAACGAATCGCAATCGATGGGCTAGGCGTTCCTGCGACTCGCAGCAGCACAGCCGCACACCGCTCCTTCCACACCCGTTTGGGTGGCTCTCTCTCAGCTCCCCCACAATACGCCAGGCAGCCTTATCGCCATGCCCAGACAGGTCGCCGCTATGGCCACGGCAAGAACTCTAGATCCTATTTCGAGAGGGAAGATGTCTGGATCACAGCGCTAACTGACGAGAGGGATGAGCTGGCTGCGACCGGAGTAGGCGATGGCTGGATCATGGCGCCCGATGAGGATGAAGACGAGGCCTATGAACTGGAGCTATATCGGCACCTGTACCTTTGCGATGCGTCAATGCAGCAAGCATGGCTTGAAGACTCACTCCCGGATTATTTGTTCGACGAAATGGTCGCTGAACACATGCAGTGGATGCATGAGATGGGTAGTGAGACCCAATACGATGTATACGACGAGTTCGACTATCTCGTTTGATACATGAATGCGAAGTTCAGGTGCTCAAGACATCAACGTGGCTTATGTCGATGAAACGCTTCCTACTCGGGGCAGCTTCAGCTCATGCTATATACCAGCATTCGATGGGAAAGTGCGGATTCATTCATTCATCCAAGTTGTTAGTTCGCTTTTCACGCCATATGGTGTGCATACGTCTTTTGAGAAAATAGATCTTCTTTGCTATTTGATTTCACTGCTAATAATGCCATTTACAATCTCCTCAAAACGAGGCAAAGCTCGATAACCCTTCCTCCATGGCAAAGCAGATTCTGCGTGCGCAATTTCAAACTCTAGTACCATGGCCATCCTGCAGTGCTGCGATAGCTCACCAACAACTCATATACGACGAGTCACTTACGACTTCCGCAATACCAGCGACGCAATCGATGCCAAAAAGTTCCCATTGCTCAATAGCGACAGCGATGATAACTGCAATTCACCAGCAAAGCTTCGAATCAAATGCCTTTGCACCATTCAAACTCCACATCGTCACCTTCCCAAGAAGCCAAACTGCTCCAGGAAGCTGAACTATTACTCCTGCTACCCAAGCCCGACCGACTAGTTCTGTTCCCGTAGTTGCTTCTGCAGGCTTGGTCCAACATGAGAACGCTTTCGAGGGGAGCCGCATCCCGTCCTTCTCGAACAGCTTGCTCCTCGTGCTCTGCACACAAAGGATCTGCAGGAAACCGTGCTGTAGCAGCCAACATTGAGCTAATTGGAAGACGGGTGCTGCAATGGACATTCGAGCAGCGCAAGGTCCCCGGTGTCTTTGGAAAAGCACTGCGTATGTCGGTGTCGGGATCTTGTGTGGAAATAGCGAGGCTGCGTCGCTTGCGGTGACTGGTATTATCGGAGTTTTGCGATGCTGGTGTTGGGGCGGTTATCAGCATGTCGTATGCTGCTAACGATAGCTTGTCGATCCATATCGACGGCGGCTCCTGGGAGGTAGAAGCGGGTGGAAAGATGAATTGTGAGAAGTCTCGCGGGTAGTGTGAGTCCGAAGGGAAGATTGGACGAAGGAAACTTGTACATTCCTCGCATGAACACGCGATATTCAGTTCTGCTGCTGCTGCTGATGATGACGATACAGATGATGGAGAAGACATGTCTGCTACTTCGGACTGATCATCTTCCGACTCAGTACAATGTATTTTTTTTCGTTTTTGTATATGGCAACGTCCTTATCGTAGAGTTCCTAAGAGACAAACGTGTTTCAAAGACACCATCTCCCTCTCTCTCCTACTGTCTTGCCTCCTTTGTTCGTCGCTTGAAGTCTCGACGCAGACAAAGCCCCTGCTCGTGGTATGGGCGAGCAAACAGACTGTACTCCGTGTTTTCGGGCTACTTGTCGCTTTGTTCGCTCGCCTGGTCATCTATGGCTGTCCTGCAGCTTCCCTCGATACGAGTACTGTACGTCCTTCGAAAACAAAAAGACGATGCATGGTTGCCATGCAGCAAGCGCAGTATAGTGTAGTGCAAATAAAACATTTCGGTAGCGCCCACGTGTTGCGAAAAAAAGCAAGTAGTACCAAACAATACATGCCCGGCAAGCCTTGCTGTCCCTGCGCAAGGCCAACGCGTTCCTGTGTTTTTGTTTCTTTCTCCGGCAGAGCTACCGGGATCGATTTTGGCGCGGGCTGCAGCTGTGCCGTATCTTTGGTCGCGTTTGCGGCAAGCGCTGCGCACATTGCAGACCCTTTTTGGGGCTGGCTTGCGTGGGGGGTTTCTGCACTCACCGATGTGCTCGACGAGGAGGCGCTGCGCACTCGCGACAGTGTGGGAATTGGAGGTTTTCTTTTTGTCTAGATTTTCGAGTTCTCCATGACCATGGCAAGTACTCGTGGCAACAGTAGACTAATAATGAGCGTAGAGGGTGTGACTGTTGCTGATGAGATTTTGTGCGGGCCCCTAGAACCGCGTCGCTGGTCTCCTGCTCTTTTCCTCTCCACCTCAATCCCGCAATCATCCTTCAGGCGTGTAATTTGGCGAGGCTCCCCGTTGGACATTACCATAGTTCCACCAGTCATTGTAGAACTCATGGCATGCATCGAATAAATCGAGCCAGTGTAGAGCGCAGAGGTAATCGCCGTTGTGGCCTGCAGCTATGTTTGAATCCCTTGGAAAGCTACGCGTGCAGCCTGTGTGCCCACAGAGAACGGAGTTCTCGTGCGGTAAGGGCTCTGCGACTGTTGAGGGAGTGGCCGCGACGTGGTCTGGAGACGCGGTGGTGGGAGTCGACATGGTGGAAGATGCGGAATCGTGTGAGTTTTGCGTGTTGCAAGCGTGCATGATTAGTTTAAGTCTGCCTGGGCGTAGTGACTTGCCGAAAACTGCGAGTAATGGTATTGCTTTTCTGTGATAGCGCTTGGAGGGGTGTCGGTACTGTACGAAAGGTTTCGGTACGTTGTGATGGAGTTGGCAGACGACGCAATGTTTGGGAAATGGTGTTAGAGATGAAAGAATATTTGAGAAATGGGACAGCTTTCATGACGGGCAACTTTTGTTTGGTATTGTTGGGGTGACGAACCACTAGTACGTGGTTGGCTGCCTGCGACCCTATTATGATCTTACTCCCACCAGCATCTCGTCTCCGCATCTTTCCTACTGTCACCTCCGAAACTCACATTCGGTAATTTGGATTAGCTATTGTAACTCAATGACAATAGATTGATTGTATTCACTGTGTATTATGCCATTATCGTGAGTCACAATAGCTGAGACCGTGCCGACGAGTAAGGATTACGGTCGCGTTCGAATATTTGTGGTTGTGTTATGGGGCCGCGCACCCAGCTATCCACACGTGTTCAGCTGTTTACTTCCCAGTCTGAATCACCGCTCGTACATTGAACGTGCGAAATCTCTCTCGTGACTTGGCAAGCTGGACACATATTCATCCAGAAGAGGTCGCAGGTCTTCGTCGAAAGGTTCCCCTTGATCCGCGGCCATCTGCTGCCGGAGTGCATGTGCCTCACATAGGCCGTCCAGCGAGTCCGTGATCATGTCTTTGTCTGCTCGTACTATGTCAGTTAATGCTCGTGCTGAGTCCGACATCGTTCGTGCGCGCGGCTGATGTTGGTGTGCGGTTGGACTGACTGATCTGTGGGCCGTCACCCTCCTGTGTAGGTATTTCCCTGTCTGTATCGATTGGAGGAAGGGAATCCCAACGGCTGAATATATTGATAGTCCCACAGTCACCGGCGCCGACGCACCATTGACCATCACGACTCCAGGAGAAGTGACGGAACGCGAAGGCTTTGTACTTTGGAGTCTCGACGATCTTGTGTGCTTTGATCGAGCGAAAGGGGTCGGATATGCCTCGATCGTGAGATTGCTCATTCAGCCGCTTCTGTTTGGTCTTGGTATTACCCGAGCCTGTACTGATAGCAGATGAGGCAGTAGATGCCGAGCTTCCTTCGCGCACGTGTCTAGGTAGGCTGAGCGGTAAGCCTTTCGAAGTCAGGGAGTCATCTTCTCCGGTACCCGATTTCTCTAGGCGTTGTAAGTCCCAAAAGAAGGTCTTGCTTCTCTCGTTGCCCGCAACCAAAACCGGATGACGACCAAGCTCGTGAAAGATGGAGAAGCGAATGTAGAACTGGTTCGTGTGCGGCAAGTCGAATTGCAGAAGTCTCTGGAAGCGCCCGCCCCATGCCGACCGTGTATTTGAGGTCGAGTTCGCTGGAATTGTCACAGGGGTTCTACTGTGGACCGCGCTTGATGTGGGGACTGGCGGAGGAGGCGTAGACCGATTGGAATTGAATCGATCGATACCCCAAAGTATGATCTTGTTCTCGCGACAGGCATGACTGAGGATCAAGTCACCATACCATTGGACACTGCATGAAGTAAGCAATTGTAGATCGGTTTCAGAAGGGGATCATTACCAGTCGATGAAGTCAGTGTGTATCTCGGTAGTGGAAAAGTGCGGATAGTGCACTATGGCCGGCTTGTCGGTGCCAGCGTGTTCCTTGAGGTCTTCGGGTACTGCCCACTAGACTTGTCAGAGCATTGTCAAGCAGTAGGCCGGGGTGGTGCATCCTACCAAATTGATCCTGGTATCCATACCCGCTGTTAGGATGTACTGGCCTTTCGGGTGGTATGCCTGGCAATATCAGTATATTAATTGGGTATATTTGCAGGTCACACACAATGGTAAGCACCTGGTCCTTATGGCCTTGCCCGTAACAAATGGCTCCGAGGGGCTGCTTTTCGTGATTGGGGTGGAGGCTCCATATTCGGAGACTATGGTCAATGCTCACGGAGGCGAGAATGGTCGGGTCTATCGGCGATATGGCGAGATCGTTCACGGACTGTAGGATGTTAGGAAGGCAGCTCGCCGCATACGACAGATGATATCCATACATCGCCATGGCCTATCAGCGTCTGGGTGCAAGGTCAGTGGATGCAATACAATCAGTGATATGGCCCGTACTGCTGTGAGCTCCCCGGTCTGGACATTCAAGACCTTGATGCGAGAGTCTCCTGTGACGCAGACGAGCGGGTCGCCATTTTCAGCCTGAGACCATACGATACTGTTGTAGTTGACCTGGTGATGGTTAGACAGGCCGCGCACAAAGGGTACGTGCCTACTTTATCGTCGGACGTGCCGTGTTCAGTAGTGGCCTCGTCATCTTCAAACCACCGCAGGATCTCGACGGTGCCGTTGCTGTCAAGTTTACACCGACATATGACGGTCTTGGCCAATCAGTAGACGGCAGACTGCACACAGGGTGATACATACAAATGGACCTCCGCACACGGCGAAAACAGGGACCTGGCCGGGAGCGGTATAGGGATAGAAGTCTACATCGTAGAACTGAGCTGCAACGTGATGAGTATTGCATGGAGTGACGGCTGACGCGCATGCTTCCTGACTCACTAGAGCTCAGCCTAGACTTGGTTGGGGCCTGTCGAGGAGTTAGTGGTGGCTACGCGCAGGACGAGAGGCATGGGTTACGCCTAGTCTCAAAGTGGCCCTCAGCGAAGGCAGTTCAAAGTTGCAGTCCATCTTGGCGTGCATACCATGGGAAAGCTCGGAAAGCACAGCCGTAATGGCTGATATGCAGGGCGCGGGTCTCGTGAGGTAGCCCAAGTGCAAGGTAAGTGCAAGGTTGTGTGTGCCAATCGGGGGTTAGAAAGAAGCGAGGGCGAGGGACAGGGCTTTTAGTGTCATGGAAATTAAGCTATCACTTGCAGCAAACAGGTGAATGAGAGACATGCGGCGAGCAGCAGGCGGACGGAGGTGGTGCCGCCAATCAGGCGGGGGCCCGCAGGCAGAGACGGTGAAGCAGTGGAAAGAGGCCTTGAGGGTCTTGCATGTGGCTTGTGGCGTAGTTTGGGGAGGATCGTCGATGATGTTGTTCGGTTGAGGGCTTGGGATGACAAGTAACAGGTCCGTACCACGCGCCGCTAGACCCAGTGCCGGGCGACCAAGGCAGGGACGACCAAGGCAGGGACGACCAAGGCAGGAGACGCGCAGGCCGGGCGATGCTGTGGGCAGCGGCAATCGCCTGGGTAGGTTTGCCAGAGCGCTGGCGGAGGGGCATCCGCTCGCAGTTCGCAGGCTGGCCGTGGTTGCTCTGGTGGCGCTAGGCTAAAGTTTGCATGCAGGCACCTGGGCGGCCATGGAATGGATATGGATATGCATCATCGACGTCGGGCGCGCCAAGGCCAGTCGCATGGATTGACAGTTGGGCTCTCCAGGGCTCTCAGCACACCCGGCGTGTGCAACGCGCGGACATTTGGAGGCACGACTCGAGGCAGTCCTGACCCGAGTGGCCTGATGCGCACTCCTTCGACCAGAGGTGCAGGGCGACTGCCGGTGCCCCGCGCCGCTGCCGACGAGCTGCTAACCGCCGTTGCGCACACGTCTCGCGTCGATCCTTGGGCGCGGCAAGGGTGAGCAGTTCGTCAGCTCACTTTCTGCACCTCTCTTGCATGCCACGCCGCCTGTCGCATCCTCCACTACATCCACCTGTCGCAACCGTCCTCTTACTTACTCCCAGCCCTCTCTTTGGCCCGCCTGCCGACACAGACGCTGCTGAGCCCGTTGGCGCCCCTCCGGTCCCGCCATTCTGGCCGTCGTCACGCTTCCGCTCCTTCTCCGCTGATTTATTTATGCACCCGACCCAACTGCTCGCTGCTAGCCCCTTCCGGCAGCCCAAGCCCGCGAGCTTTCTCATATATTTCCTCGCTGCTGCCCGCGCCTGCCCTGTCGCGGGTGAGGGGCGCCTGCTGCTTCGTGATCGCCCATTACATCATAGCTCCTGACTCGTATACGTTTCGACCTGCCATCTGCATCCCATCCCATCCCATCCCCACCCCGTGCTCTGGTCGCACCGCCTGAACGGCCTCTAGACACCTTACCCGCACCTGTGCGCCTCTGTGCCACCTGGACCCTGCCTATTTGACCCGCCGACAGTCCCTCGCCTCTACTGCCCAACCTGCTCTTATTTCCACCGCCCGTCCCAGAGCGAGTTATTAGATTCGACAGACCAGGGCGCGTGCGGTAGAGCAGGAACGACCACCACCCCCGTTCTTGCTACCATGGATACCACCTTCATCACCATTCACGGTTTGTCACGTCGACCCTGCCTTTTGCCTGCCAATTCTCACCCAAGACAGACCTCTCCGATGACGCCCACATATTGTACTCTTCCGACTCCATTGTCGACATCCTCGGTCATACACCTGACGAGGTAGTCAATCGGTCCGTGTGGCAATTTTTTCATCCAGAGGAACTCCCGCTGGCCAGAGCTCACCACAGCCGCGGCGTGAGACTGGACAAGGCTGCTGTCTTATCCTATTGCCGCCTGAAGAACCGCCAGGGCGAATGGGTCGGTTGTGAATGCTGCTTCTCCGTCGTCTACGATGTCCTCGTTTGCTGCACCAGCATCTACAGACATGGCATGCAGAGCCAAAGTAAGTCTTTCAACCCGTTTGGGCCCTGCGTCATGCTGATTCCAGCCAATCAGAACGCGCAGTCGAGGCTCCTATAGTGCGCAAGCTATTCGCCTCGTCACCAAAGGACCCGCGCTACCACATGTTGTCTCACCTGTCCAGCAAGTTTGACCTCGGCCCCGATGATCAGACCCATGAGCCGCGAGCTGCCTTGTTCCTCAACAGGTTCACGCGTACCCTGACCGTCATGTACGCAACCAGTGGGATCGAGCAAATCATTGGCATCTCCGGAGAGGCTATGAAGGGTCGCAGCTTCTATTACTGCATTGCTCCCAATTGTCTTGAAGATGCAGTCCGCTGTCTCGAATCGGCCAAAGGCAACGATTCCATTGCATACATGCGCTTTTTCTTCCGGGACCCGCGCCAGGACGATGCGCCTGAAGCTTCCTCGTCTGAGAGCGAAGATGACATCATGACGGATGTTACGGGCTCCGACGATGAATCTGAAGGCGGAGTGGACCTTGACGGCCATTCCACGTCCAACGGCACAAGACATCCGTCAGACTCAAACCGCACCACGGATAACAGTGAAGAGCGGTCTGCGTCGCGCACCAACTCTGGCGGGAACAATGACCCCAACAATACCCACCAAGCCATGTTCGGTGGATCCGCTGCCCGCTCGTCGTTATCGTCCGTGAGTTCGCCTCGTTCCGAGATCCGCGACGATCCTATCGAACTCGAGGCTGTCATATCCTGCACCTCAGATGGCTTGGTTGTGTGTCTACGTCGTGCCCGCCCAATGTTGCCAGGCACCATGCCGGTGGCCCAGCCAGCACAGCAATACAACGGTATCTACGCCGCGCCATGGGCAACACAACCCGTGTTCCATCCTGCTCCACAGCAAATGCCCCAATACCCTCTTGGCGCTCGGCACCCGGCCATGGTGCAGGCAGGGCCGTCTATGGAATTCCAGAACAACTTCATGCAGAGCATTCGCGATGTCGCCGTCTTTGCTTGGGCACTTACTGGCATCAACGGCAGTCTCGTGGACTATGCTCGCGGTAAACCACTAGGTGAAAGTCAGCCGCCTGAGGGCTTTCCGGTCTGGAATCCTTTGCCAGACCCTGGGTTTGGCAAACAAGCATCTGCGGCACCGTCGGGCTATGTTTCGGGGTCCAATAGCTCCTCGAGCAACGATCCATTTGGTTTTGGCGACCCGGGCCTGCGCTGAGAGCTCAGCTTTGCACTTTTGCATCAGGCCAATCCAACACAGAGTAGGCCGCGTGCGACGCGGTGTCGTCAGCGACACTGACGAGCGCAACCTTCTCGATGACCTCAGGCTGCCACAGTATACGACTTTGATGATGGACGCTGTAGACAACTTATGATTTAATGCGAGCGAACAGCGCGGAATATACCAAGCCATATTGGGCTATGTTATCACCATATGGTACGATTTTTTGGACCTCTCCTCTCCTTGTATCTCAGCTGTGAATAGCAGTTAAAAAACTCAATACCTTCAGGTGCTTTTCCGTTCTGGGTCTTTTTCTCTTCCATGTCGTGTGAGTAAGGAACGCGTACCGTCATCCTTTGCTGATGCCGGAATGAACGCCTCGAGTTGTGCCATTGACTATGAGTGGATGTTGTTTCGCTTACCTGCACGTAGTCCTTGGTCTTACGACGCGGCGGGGCACTCGCATCCTTGACCATTGTCAAACTTCAAATTACGCGTTCGAGTGGCCACATTCCCAGATGCATAGCTATTGGAGATACAAGACAGATGAGCTTTGTTGACCTTTGTCGCCCTTGCGATGATCACATGAGGTCACCGAACCCTTGCAAAAGACACAACTCTTTGTCGTAACATCCCTTGAGGCCGACTTCTGGCCACCTTCCAGCGAATAGCAATCTCATATCTACGCCACAGCCACAGAAACGTACCACCATGATTATGGCGTACATGTCTCATCCTGTGCCGTTCTTTTCGTCAATTTGGCCGCTTGGCCTGTTTACGATCCCTTGTTTGCAACGCTCCTACCATGATAGGCTGGCGTATTGCGTCTTTGAATATTGATTTTCACTCTGGTGTCTTCGTCTTCGTCAGTCCCACGGTCCTCTTTTCTCTTGAAGCTTCCGTCGTCCTCTCTGCACGATCGCAACTCTTCTCAGGTTTCATACTGTTATCTTGACGATCGCAGCACTGATTATGTTGTCCCGAGTGCCTGTACTCTCCATCTTGTCTTTGCTGTTCAGTCTGCTTCCTTCGATATGTCTAGCGCAAGGCAACGATGGCCTCAGCAGTGGCAGTCCCACAGCCTCGTTGAGCACAGCAAGCTCGACGACCTCTGCAGCTGCGCAGACACACACTATTTCAGTCGGTCTAGCGGATCACAAGTTCAGACCCGAGTCGACAAACGCCAGTGTAGGCGATGTAAGTAGAAGCTTCATTCATCATCTCGATCGGGCCTCCGTACACATATCAACAGATGAGGAAATACTAATGTGCTAAAGATAATAGAGTTTGCCTTCTATCCACTAAATCACAGTGTCGTCCGCGCAGAATACGGCTACCCATGCATCCCATACGAAATGACGGGGCAGGGTAAAACTGGTTTCTTCAGCGGTTTCGAGCCCGTCGACACTGTCCTTGATTTCCCACCCACCTACAGCATCGAGATCAAAAACACTGATCCCATTTTTTTCTACTGCTCAGCACCAGGGTCTTGCATAGGCTATGGCATGGTGGGCGTTATCAATCCGAATGCAACGACGAGCATCGATCAACAGTAAGTTTATCGGTACGCACTGCATGTGAGACATATACTGACTTAGTACACCCTTATTCAGACATAAAATGGCGCTTGACAGCAGTTACATGCTTAACCCTGGCGAGCCCTTCCCACCAGAGAGTACTCACAAGACACCCGGTGCTGGCCTCACGAACAACGACACCCAAATTGATCTTTCAGCGGGCGCTATCGCAGGCATCTCCATCGCAGGCGTCTCCGTTTTCGTCATCGTAGCCCTACTGTACTTCTTCTGGTGCCGCACAAAGAGCCTGAAGGATGAAGTCGACGGAAAAGCAGAAGTAGCTGGAGCTCCTCGTCT